CCACTTCTCAACTCTGATCTGCTACTTACACTACAATCCTCGGATATTGCTGTGATGTCAGACGAAAAAGGGCAAATGCCCACGCAGATAGATCTCTAAAAAATACCCAGATAGAATGCCGATGGTCTTCGCCATTGAGAAGTTGCATACAACGCACTATGGTCGTCATTTCACGCTCGCCCCAGACCATAAACTGCTTCTGGACGTTGTCGGGTAGAAGAAACATATCCCTCTTTGAAGAGCGAACTGTTTCAAATGTTGGGCTGCGATGCTTTTTGGCAAACGCCTCTTCATTTAATACCAATCAACTGATGCCAGTGGCAAGGAGGATGCATTATTGAGACCCATGAACTCTAAATGTCAACAACCCTAGAATGCTGTTGCTGTCTCAATAACGGTGCAGCCATAAGTCAACGCGGTGTTTGCTACTACAATCCTTGCAGTTGATTTTGCCACGGTTCGCGACGCCACTGCTCGTGATCCGTTGCTCCAAAAAGTTATTCATTTTCAGTGCACATATGGAACTATGGTGTGTTTCGAAAAGCGACTCCAACCATTCTACCAACGCCGATCCTCACTTTCCGAGGTCAATGATTGCATACTCTTCGCAGAACGGGCGAGTGTGCCTACGGAATCACAAAGCAATGCTCTTCAACAATTCCATTTTGGACATCTCGGCATTAAAGGCATGAAGGTGCAAACACGTAGTTGCGTTTACTGGCCGCGCATGGTGGTGTGGAAAAGTGGACGCAAGGTATAAGTGTGCGCCGTGCTGGAAAAGTTGTTCACAAGATAAACGTAGGCTCCTCCATCATGGTCCGTCATATCACTCATTTACGCCCTTCCTATCTTTCAGCGACAGTTAAAATCAGTCGTGGGATCTCACTGGAGATCTCAAAAGCCTGAATCTGCCGAGGCGATGACTGAACCAGAAATCCCAAAAAAGTTGCACACATAGAAGATGGACGGATCGAATAAGAAAGCCTATCATACCATAACAGCCGTCTTATGATCATTTACTTCAAAACGAACAAGCCTATTTTGCTAACAATATATCTCGTAGACTAAAACCTTATTTTCTCCATTTCAGGCTTTCATTGATATCCTACTGGACTGTTCGCTCTTACATTCTGGTTCATCTGAATACATACCACGGAACGGTTCAGCTTTTCAAGTACAACTTCCCCAAGGTTGTTTGCCTTCTCTATCCTGATACATCAGTAGAGATCATAACACATCTTCCAAAAGTGAAGCGTTGCTACCCAGAATTTCGCAACTTGTTTCACCATTGGTTAGGATAGGGGATCAATGTCATTCAAATGCTAACGAAAAGTGAATAATAGATGAAAAAACATGACATAATTCGAGATTAGTTAGGATGCGCATTTGTTTCATTTTTAAAAGGGCTTTTTCGCAGAAGCAAATGAGTGATGAAAAAACATCCACCTGAGTCACTGAACGATTGTGGGAATCCGCTTGTGATGCTTTGCTCCCTGAAGCGGATGGCGTAAAGGATGCGCAAGGTTTCTCATTAAGGGGAAGGGTGTTGGGCGTAGCAGTAGACTTTGGATGTCCCACAAAACCTGCGCTGTGAGGGTTGTGATTATGAACAAATCTGTGTGATACAGGAAAGGTCATTCGATACCCGATTGGCTTTTTGGGATGAAATAAAACAGATTAGTTGAATGTTTAGGTATGGCTGTGTAGGTCACATGTTGACAGATTTAGTTTGCCAACTAACATAACAGCAGAGAGTTGATGTTAACCGGAATCTCAAATGGATTTCTCGCTAATGATATTCTTCAACTCAACGTATGCAGAAAGTCTATGCTGTATCAACAAAAATACATCGAAAGCTTGATTATCAACCCAACGAAACATTAGGCGGCCTTTGTGCAGCCCATTCAGTTGAGTCATCCATCAGTTGAAAATGAGTGTAGAAGAGTGGTGGAAACTCGAGGGACTACACCTGCTGATGACCTCAAAAAAAATGAAACTTTTAGTGGGATACTGAAAAGTTTCCAACTTTGCAGACTATTGTATCGAGTATTCATCTTTGTCTTCCTGCTCAACATCTTTGTATGCTCAGGTTAACCTTCGGAGTTCTACTTGAGCACGTAGAAAACACTGTCCGCTGAATGTAGCACAATAAGTGTCAAAAGCTAGGTATTTTATCGAAAAATAGGCGTGAAAGGTTTCCCCACCTTCTCCCACGAAGCCTGGCCCTGGACAATTTACCCACCGAAACTTATTTAGAAGGGGTACTTTCAGAGGTATGAAACTACAAGTAATTTTATGCATTAAATCATGGAGGATGAATGTTGACAGTACTCCAAAATTTCAGGTCTCAGAATACCACATTAGAACCACAAACAAGCACACACACCATACCATCGGCTAACTGATGCAGCTTGGCAAAGCGGATGGGATGCAAGCCGAGGCATGTTCACATCTGGATAACAAATACCGGAGACTAACAATACCTAGTGCGGTGTAGAAACAGCAATCTACGTCTGGGTGACATCATAGTTTACGTAAAAAATGGATGGTGAATACTTAGAATTTTGTACAAGAATTGCCGACAAGTTCTCAGTAGTTCATTTGAAAGTATGTATGGCTTGCAACAAGTTATGTCATAAAGATGTGGTCGTGAAGGAGTGCGGAAGATGCTTTGACGATTCAGCAGAAAAAAACGAAGCAGTTAATTCCGAAGTTGTCAATTGAAAAAAAACTTTCCAATCTTACGAAGGGCTAAACTCTTACACGACCAACTTGAGGGAAAAGCATATAAACTATCTAAGCTTTCTGGCAGCCACTCTCGTACTCTCTAGGTTACTGGATTCTTGACGTGAACACTAGTCGGCGAGTACACGGCAAGTGATTCTCATAAAGTCCAGATACAATCACAAACCTTGGCTATAGCACTGAAAAATAACATACGCGGACTTCCTTAGCCTGTCAATAAACAGAGCAAGTGACTGGTAGTTCTGGTCCAATTGAGGGTAGCGCAATATACTTCATCAGCGAGATGAAAGTGGATATTTTTACGGTCAAACTCGATGACCTTAGATAAAAACAAATAGACGTCATTGTCATTCACACTAACTGATGAAGCTTAGTGTGTATCTCAGTCGTTCTTCCGGTAATGATGCACGCATACGGTGCCCTTTAGGACAAACGATAAGCACCGTACTTTATTGGTAACGGTATGACATGATTACTGGTCACAAAGTAGGAGCGCATGTGGTGATGTCCATGGATTAGCCACCATCACACAATAGCTATGTGCAACTATTGTGGATTTGCGTGAACAGGTTGGTCGATTTCAACTTATCGATCATCTGGTGTAGGAAAGGTGCATTGAATCCGAGAAATTCGGTTGGCATTGACAACAGATCGAGTCACAACAAAAACATATCGATATGTTTGGTGATCACACGATTATCGAGTGCACAAATTAGTGCGACATTTTTCAACTATATGTTTTGAATAGATTGTTAAATGCATGTTGTCGGTGGCCTTAATAAGCATCTTCATATTCATGAAAGTGAGAGAAAACACGAATCCAGTCTCATTCATATAAGACGGAAATATATACGACATTGCCACAATTAATGTCCCACTCATCGATTACCTAGTTCCTGTTTTGTCCACAGTTGAAGTCATTCTCAACGACTAGGTTAGGCCTCCGATTCCTGTGAAAATTTCTCGACAGATCGATTGTATAAGTCGAGCTTCGAGCTGACAGCTAGTTGAATGCACACGTAAGTGTCTTTACAACGGGCGGAATAAATACCCCAGGTCTCCATTTATGAAGCGCTGAAGCTTCCTCGATCAGATTCTGAACTTCTGAGGATTTGCGAACCTCGTATATGATATTTGTCATTTCACTGCAAAGCATGCTGGAAAGCCGAGGAGCACTGCATAGTTACTTCAATCTTCTTGATAGTCATCAGCAGTGCGAGTCTAACGAATTCCCAGAGTCAATCAAACCCGCGACCCACCGATTACTGGTTCGATACGAAACCATTCGACCACGTGTCTGATCGCACTTAGCAGGATAGCACGCCACTGTTCGTCCCCCAGAACTCTTGTAACAACGGAATCAATCCACATTGGTCGGCACCACACATTGCCGACCCAGTGAACTCCACTGTCCAGCTAAAACCAATCACAAGCATCGGTCCGTCACCTTTGCTCATCTGAAATCAGAATCTTATCGTAATAACCACCCACAGTACGGGTTGCCTGGATAAACTAAACTGGCAGTGAGAAGCAAGTCCGTGGGGATAGATCACTGACTCCCCCTCGCTAAGGTCTAGAACTGCTTACAAACCGAATGCAACTGTTCCCATGTGATTCAGATAGTGATACAAAGGCAGCATGTTGAAGCATGTATTCGAGTACTATTGGATTATCCGACGGTCTAGGCACTAAGCCGTGTTTCAGCAGTGGGTGAGCAAGTTACAACCGTTCTTAAGCTTATTCATACGGGGGAATCTTGAGTCTTTTACGGAGGGGGGGGGGGGTATTGGAAAACCTATTCAAATCAGAAGCTGCGGGCACGCACACGAGAATACAGCCGACGGAAGACAGTTGGTTTGGATATTAGTTTTTAACTACTCATCACAGCAAGTAGGTCGTATCTTAGGTAGAAGCCGATTTGCCTGAAAAAATGACAAAGCACGCAGCCTACAGATCGTCTTCGAATGATGAACCATTAGACATCACAACCTCCTACTTGTAGTTGGTTGCAGGGACAGTTGAACTACTCAACGTGTGGAACTACCACGGAAGGCAAATCCTTAAATTTAGCGGAATCGCCCTGCAAAAGACCTGTGTCGATCGTCCATTCGAAAGAAATATGACGACAGAGCGTATCATCCCATATGGAATAACTTCAACGACGACGCGACAACACTGAATTGCTTAGTATCCACATAGCACTTCCCAAACATATGGGGTTAATGGAAACCGAATAATTTAAACAAAAGTCTTACCTCATCCCAGGTCCAGTGCTGATCAAATACTGCACCGTTCATACGATGGTATTCCTCTAAAGGTGGTTCGACCAGGACAACATCAAATTTAGAGTGAAGTTCATTCAAATCAAATGTCTTTAAATCGGCCTTCAAATACATTGGCGGAGTGGCCTTCGTCTGTATCAATTCATCCTTAAGTCGTATCAGTTCCCGTAATTTCGGATATTCTTCAAACCGATTACGCAGACCTAGGAGGTGAAAATACAGCCGGTTGCAGGTATGTGGCCAGTGACTCCAAACTAATGATTAATCAGTTCAGTAATGCCTAACGTTATTACGGTGATCCCAACGGGAGAGACCAGCACGGAGCGACTTGGCATCTCCTAGGGGTGGCCTGTATCCGGGGGGAGGGAGGAAGCAGCAGTCGTAATGCATCCTCCATGAAAGTGGTATTCACATGGAGGAGACTCTCTTGGGGGATATTGTACTGAGTCATTTATACCAAATAAATGAAGACGGTTCACGAGTGCGTACCAATCAGACTGAGCATGCGAAGGCCTCTGAAATCAGTTAGTACAGTCGGTTGAGGATGATGTATGAGTGGTGATCGTACGTATGCATGCAAGGAGAGGGGTGGATCAGGATGCAGGTCAAGACACCACATGGATGCAGAAATTGGAGATTGGCATTCTGTTGCTCTGCCACCCAGGGGCAGACAAACTAAAGACACATTAGTATACGAACAATAAAGTTTTCTCAAGTATTCAGCTGTGATGAGCTGAAGTGCACTCATCTGTACACTTATTTGATTTCAACGGGAGACTTGCGTACAATTTGGGTCCAAGTAGCACATTAAGTCGACGGAAACTCGGAAACTGCACCACCTGATGAGCACCAGAGGAGGAACTGCTCGTCAGCCGTCGAGAAGTTTCCAGCAACTTTATACGTAGCCTTCATTCGAAAAAAAATGGTATTCTTCCTCGGGCTGCTTTCTAAGCCACTGGATGCTGTTGTGTCAGTGCGGATTTTATAGCTATCCAATACGCACACGTATATGTGGAACATTGATGACTTCTATCACAAGGGATGCCAAATACACTAAGTCGACGGAAACTCGGAAAGGAAACTGCATGATGAGCACCAGAGGAGGAACTGCTCGTCAGCCGTCGAGAAGTTTCCAGCAACTTTATACGTAGCCTTCATTCGAAAAAAAATGGTATTCTTCCTCGGGCTGCTTTCTAAGCCACTGGATGCTGTTGTGTCAGTGCGGATTTTATAGCTATCCAATACGCACACGTATATGTGGAACATTGATGACTTCTATCACAAGGGATGCCAAATATTGTCCACTTGCACAGCGATAGCACATTAAAAATTGAATCACATAGGATTTTGATCAAATACACATTCACCCAAAGGCATAATCATGGTTACGACTAGTAACGGAGATAGAAACGAACCGGTATCCCGAATGAAATTTTGTGGACGTTCACCGGTATCGACGAAGTGTTGACAGTAGTCGTTATGTGGATTCGCACTCTGGGTTCCCTGCGAACAAAAAGGTAGAAGTCAGCCAAAGACTAGTTTCGTGACAGGGACTTAGGCTGAAAGGTTGTGAAAACAGTGTACCATACCTACCAGCCCACGTCAAGGGTTATGGCGGTAAGGATGAAGCGAAACCCAAACGTCACCAATGCATGCAGAGTGGTGAGTCTTACGTGAATCTAAGCCGGAGCGAATTTCTTGTAGATTCTCCACATCTGATAAAACCTCGTATCAACTTACAAGGATACACCTCACACATAAGAACAGAAGGGCAAGAGTTCTGTGGAAAGTCCCATCTTCGGTAAAAGCAGCCTTGTGAGGCAATTTTATCCTCTAACCAAGTCACATTCCAGTTTTTTAACCCCCAACCGGAGATCCGCAGTCACCGTATACAAGCAGCCACTTGTCATGCTGCGGGAGCACAACAAAAACGCTAGCGTAATCTTTGTTCAGTGAGTCACTGCAGTCCGGTTGAACAACACACAGGCACACACGTGGATTGACGTTTAACAAGTCGTATACCGTGGAACTACACCTACCTCCTCCGGCTGATGGAGTGGCCGAAAAGCTTCCTGACCTAGCTTAAGTGATTAATAAAAACATTTTTGCCTAATGAACCTTTAATGTTAGACAATCCGGCTGACTAAATAATTGTCGTTCAGTTGTAACACCTTTCGGTGCCTAGTTGCCATGTAACCCGAAGGGAGCACGAGGGCTGAGATGCTGCCAGGTTGCCCAACCTAGACAGAGGAATTCGAGGGGAAAAGGTCGAGTTAACTAGGGAAAAAGGCGGAAAGCTATCAAACACGCCATAGGAAATTTCTAAGCGTAGAGGACTTCGTAATCTTTCCACATAGATGTCCGTTCTTCATTTGCATTCCCTCAGTAAAGCCATAGTTTTCGGACTACGCAGATGAATCAACAGCTCCCAACTGAAGTATACCTATGAAAACAATAAATGTATTCCATAAGAAGCACCACGTTGATTACTTTCAAATACGGGAGTCATACTGCGGTCATATTCCATGATTTCTTTCCATGAAGAGACACTCCTCACTATGGGACAGTTCCGATGTTCTTATTCAATACCCTTCCACAAAGTTCTCACACACGTTGTATGCGTTTAACTAACAGCAGTACGATTGAACAGCTGTACTGAAAAATAACAGTAACGTGAAAACTGTTCGCTGGTTCGACAGGGGAAGAGTATAATTGTAGTCTTTATGGTGCGGAAAGCACCAAAGGTATTTCCACAGATTCGCAGTCAGGATAAACCTGATCCGTAGCCACAATTTCCTCAACTGTTGAAATATTCTGTCAGAAACGATATCTTAATGCACAACTAGTGAAATCATCGTGGCTTGCCCACAAAAAAAATTGCCGTTCGAATTGGTTATTTGTATTAGGAAGCCGTAAGTTATGTGCCATCGAAAACAGGGAAAATCTACCAATATGGGAGATTAAGTGAAGTACAACAACGAGGATGCCAGTACACTTGAATGCTGATACGGCACAAGGCTAAAATATGAAGGACACCGGAACTGATAAAATTCCAGGGTCTTCGTAGCAAAAAACAGCAGAAAGGAGACAGTACCGCACCAAAGAGAGGCTGTATCCATAATTCCAACAAGTCTGTACGAAAACGTGTCAAACTCAACGCTATTTTCCAAGCTGTTCTTCACTTGGTCCACCAAAGTGCGATTTTGACGCTTCCAACTGGGAATGATATGGTCTCGCGCTTGGTGAGGTATACAGAATCTGTATAGGTTCTGAAGTAGTAATTTATTGGCATCAGCTACTTCTTACCCCATATGGAAGCTATTCAACAGGCCATACATTCAACGAGAGCTAAACGAACAAGCGCTTTCTGTAAACAGCACAGACGACGCGGCCGGATCCAGAATTTCCCGGTCACATGGAGGCTTTCGTCATTATTGATACTTGCTAGATAGGTTCAAAGGATTGCAAATACGACTCCACGTTTAACAGTTTCAGTCTGCTGGTCAAGAATACCTGCGTCCGCTGATCTGAATTACATGTGAATCTTGGTTTGACAGGCAGTGAAACAGTAGTCGGGTTATCGGGAGAATTTAATAGTTGGTTATACTAAGTTTATGGCCTAAAAATACTTAGATGCCTCTTATTACCTATTATTTCTAGAGTAACCGGTCGTAGGGTGGTGGTGGTCACTTTTTGTTATCACGCCCAGTAGAACGACGCTCCTCACCTGAGGAGTTTTGATATTCCACCTCGGAGTACTGCACATTAGTTGCATTACGAATTCTAGTTCGAAAAATTCAACTGATCCGAACTTTAAGTTACGCAGTGATGCTCGAGAAAGGCAACTTCCTCATCAGCAACAAAACTCAAACATTGTAAACCAGGAATTAAACGAATTGGAGATTGCTGCTGAGTGTGAGAGTCAACATTCTGCGAGTTCAACTTACAATATAGATGTTGCCCTTATTTGTTAGTCGACTAGGATCACTTTGATAACCTCAAATGCTCACTTCATGTGTTGCACACAATACCACAGATCGAAATTGCGCGGTCTTAACTTTTCTGATCTAAACATCGTTTTATGAGACGCACATAGCAGCGAAGACAGTCGGAACAGGAGACCTGTTAAATTGGAGTTTGGTAAAGTTCTCTCGGTTGTGTGGTAAGCCATTCTATAGGCACAGAAGATGAACTCACGCTAGAGTTACGTAACCTCATTAGCAGCTTTACAAGTAGTACGTTACAGTGGTTTCGTGCACACAGAGCTTAAAATCCGCAGTCGAACAAGCAGCTGGGCTAACACCTGTCTTGTTATTAAACGGCTTCGGAGGATTACCCGGCTTGCGCACACTTGATGGTATGAGCCACAAACGAGATAGCAGAGTAGATTAGATCAAGCTCCAACATGCGCTAGGTTCGGCACTTCGGCCCGGGGCTGATAGTGTCTGTCCAAAGGCCTTCAACACAACTGTCAAACTCATAAGTCCGAACAAATACGCGAAGCATTATGTTCAATCGGCACGAGTCCACTCACTTTGAGGAAGGTAGCAGAACCAGTGTAGGTTTTGATCAGCAAGTCATCATTACCCACTGCCTGACCGGCAAAAGAATCGATAAGCTCTCCATCATTGAGTTTTGCACCACCTGCAGATCGGGTCGTTTTGTTTGACTCCAAGCTTGGTTTGAGCGACTCCCCCGAAACACACGGAGGAAGTGTGGCTAACTTAGGAAAAAGTAAGCCTAGTTGATGTAGTTGCTGAGATGTGTGGACACCAGCCAGTCCAAAATGGTCCCGTAGAAGGCGCTTTATTCTGTTACGTAAACGTCTGCTCAGTGTAGGTAATCTGAGGCGGGATATTACTGGTCTGGTAAGTAAAAGAGATTGGGTGAAAAGGTTACGGAAACTACGCTGAGAACAGAGATACTAACTGATACAATAAATATGGAAGGTGCATTCATTATTGCTCATACTACGAACAGTTGCATACAACCCATTGAATGCAATTTAGAATTGTAATAGAATAAATCACCTGCACTATGTATAGAAGATATTCGAAACAAGAAAGACTCCAAGGTGTGAAAGAATTGAGCCAGCACTACCATTTGAATCCAGGTCCTTAAGAGATTGTACAGAGGGTTCGCATTCCGCCTGAATGCAAAAATGAAAGCAGCGTAGGCTCGTGCCTAAAACTTTCTGGATAGGGGGTAAGAGCGCCATGAACCGAATACGTCAGTGTTCCATCAACCTTTGCTAGCAGAATAACGCTAGCAGAATAATATACCCCGGGTTACGTCACGTATGTTGAGAATAAAAGATCGAGCGGCGGCAAGGGGTAGAAATCGGAGTTCGAAAGTAGGAGCTAACTGTTACTTGTTTTTGCCTCGTTCCATTCAACCCTCGTCTGCCGGAGAAGATAACAATCCAGAGCAATCGTTCAGCTGTAGCACCTTTTCGGTGCCTAGCTGCCATGCCACACGAAGGAAGCACGAGGGTTGGAATACTACCAGGTTGCACAAGCCTAGACAGGAGAAGTCGAGAGGCGGAGGGCGGGTTAGAACCACGGACCTTCAGGAGCACAAGGGTCCAGTGATTGGTTGAATCGGGTGGACACACAAGGGCTGCATTGGTAAACGAACTTAGACACTAATCGTTCGGTTGCTACCTTGTGCCGAGACATTCAGCCATGCAAGATACATGCTGGTCATGGCTAAACTATCCGCACTATACCATCACAATTATGCACTTCTGCACATGTCTGAGAGGAAGGTGGCAACGATGAAAAATGGCCCAAATAAAATGAAAAATCAAAGGAACACCGCACACGTACCACGTACATTGATAAGAGTCAAATTGATGGGTCGTTGGCATCTTTCAAAGAATGTGTTCCCACTGTAAAATTTATTTGGCATAAACAAGTAACTCTTAATTATTTACGACCGACTGGTGGAGAAAAAAGAAAACGAACACCTAACCTACTAAACCTAAATCGTTCACCTGTAGCATTTTTTCGGTGCCCAGCTTCCATGCCAACGGAAGGAGGCACAAGGGCTGGGATACTGCCAAGTTGCCCAAGCCCGGAAAGGAGCAGTAGAGATGCTGAGGTTAGGTTCGAACGAAAGGTCCTCTTGTCCGTAGACTGGCGCCTTAACCACTGAGCACTCTCGAGCCAAAAATGAACGAAGGACCGATGTACAGTGAGCCCGAGAGTGTGTTGTCAGTACGCACTGCTTCTGACTCTTTAGGCAATGAATCCTGTCATAGGCTAAAGGACTGAAACTTAGTCCCGAGGTCATCGGGCCTTAAGCATATCCTACAGAACACTCATAGCTCCATAAAGTGTGCCGAAAGTAGGAAACTAGAGTGACATCATGCCGGTGATAAGCCTTTGCAAAGTCTATACTGGTGACCATGAGGCAATCACGGTATACGAGTCCATGACAGATTCCGCTATTTTTGGATAAATGAATGAGAAGGAACTTCATAAGACGAGGACAGTTGTCTCGCCTGAGTATCGGAAGAACGTGAGACTTTTCCAATTGGAAAGGAGTAGAAAAGGATGAAAGGACGATTAAACAATTCGGTGATAATAAGTACAAGTTCAGGCACATAATTTTAGAGCCATCAAGTTCTTCGAGGCCAATAAACAGTAGAAGCTTCACGAACTATTCGAGCAACAAATATAGGTAAAAATGGAGTAATACCGGAGGGAAAGAAGAGAAATTGTAGCGACAATTTGGCAAAATCCCAAATGAGCGTCTTCCTTAAAGTGAAAATTTTTATCCGTCTCGGTAGGCGACGTTTCGGCATGCATAGCACATGAGCGAACCACCGCAGCTGATGTTGCCACATGTTTTTCGCAATCGAAGTGCTTGCTAAATAACCAGATATCCGTTTTCAAGTTACCTCGTTACGAATTCGTCGACGCTATCGGATCCCAGTAACGGGTCTGAGACATAGTTGGTCAAAAACCTAGGGAAGCCTCAGATCCTCTGACCGCCTCAATCCACATTAGTTAGAAAAGTGCGGCTTTATCCAAGCTTAACAGCACCAGATAACAAGTGTCCAACGCTGACGCATCGCTGCCATGCAACCATGATTTCTTTGAGAGAGTTATTTTAGATAAATGAATAAAATTGAACGAGGAAGGGACTTAGTACCAGTCTATTACCGTCATTTTGAGGTGCCTACACCACCATAAACTCATCCAGGTAGGGTGGTGCTATGTCCCGTCTCAGTGAGGGCCAATCGAACCGATTATAAGCCGCTTGTGGTAGAACTTTCCAACCACTGGCTAGAAGGCCACGAGTTTGAGACTCTGAGTTTCATAAAATGGGCGCTGCTGATGACTTTCGATAAAGATGCAACAGTTGTAAATTGTTTCTTGGCTTTTCAGCGTAAACTGGTTTCACTGATACGATGACTTCTACTGGAAACCTCCAAATTTCCTCACACCACAATCGCGACCCCCCCCAAATGGGTGCTATCTTCATGAAATATTATAACTCAACACCTTGTTATCCGAGTAGTGATTCCTATAACTCTGCTGAAATCGAAAAGAAGGAGTTTGAAGTTTCATTCGACTCGCAAGAAACTTCGAGAAAACAGCTCCACTGCCGCCACATCAGCTTGAAATACACAAAACGCTTTTATAGGTGGAGCTATATATGGAATAATCAAAACCCTGACGAAGGGCAACCTTGAACTTACAGAATAAATCGCTTGCGATAAGCTGCCTCATCAAAGTCCCCCAAGTTCCTCTGGTACTGTGTAATCGGTTTTGCTGAGTGGGGATGGTCTTCCTCAACCGCTGTAACGGATGGTACAGAGTACTGCTGGAGTAGCTGGCGTCGCTTGGCTTGACGGGACTGCCAAACCCGAAATCGGGAATTCGCCTCGTCCAGCAGCGCAAACGAGTTTTGACTACTGCAATCTGGTTTCGATTGTTCGTGTTCGTATTGTTCCATTTAACAAGTCATGGAAAACAGGCGATTTACCTGGTTCTTTGGTGAACCGAGAGCTGAAATCGAGTAATAATGCTGAGGAAGGTCGGGAACAGTCTTCCAAAATAAGCGAATGGAAGGATAGTGTGCTACGCCGGATCCTTTGAAGATGACCACACCAGGAACTTGGGAAAGCAAAAACTAATGATTAGGAAGCAGATTTATGGCAAGCAAATGGAACCACTGGTTATTTAGATGATGTGATAATGCAGTAAACAGGCCGTGATCTTGAACTCTGGTGTTCAACAAGTCCACATTTTTGGATCTCTAACAGCACTCGATCAAGTTTCACAGATTTCAAAACACTACAAACTTCGAGTGAGCCAAGTTGCTGGCCTAATGGACTGCCGTATTTTCACATTCCTCTCCAGCGAAAGTTACTGTTTTACGAAGTTCGGAACATCCTAGAAACTGTATCCTGTGTTCTAATAACAGTGTCGCTGTCCGTCAAGAGATATTGAGGTCTGGATGTTTTACACTGCTGATTCCTATTTTTCGCAGGTGGCACGAAATTTGAGACCCATCCAGGCGTTTCTTAGCAGACAATAAATGCATTCTGCTCCGATCGTCTTCCATTTGTTCCTCTCTTTGGCAAACGGTTACGGGGTTGGCATACCGTCCCCTCGCTTCTACCAAGAGATCTGTCCACTTTCGTACTGATTTGCAACAGTCCATATCATATCGCCATTTTATGATTTTCGTTTTTTTTGGCCCAGACGATTTCTCAAATCTCTCGTCTCCTGACGTATAGACAGTAACTGAGATTCAGGAAGCTCTACCCTGCACACGCAGTCCATATCATATCGCCACTTTATGGTTTTCGTTTTTTTGGCCCAGACGATTTCGCAAATCTCTCGTCTCTTGACGTATAGACAGTAGCTGAGATTCAGGAAGCTCTACCCTGCACACAGAGGCAACGCCCTACAGCTATACAACGAAACATCCCGCATTGCGGCCTGATATCCTGATATACGCACCCCCAGTGATATGCCACAACGGGTATCTAAAAGTATCAAGTGACCCAAGCCTTAGAGATGTGTGAACCGATCTCGTTCGTCACACTACAGTCGGAACCAATACCACTTCCAAGATATGTAAAACACCCCATAAACTCGCGTGCCTCGATTACAAGTGGCATGTGCAGTGATTAATGTAAGGAGTACGACGCACGCAAAAGGTCAGTCCATCCAAAAATACTTATGCCTTCTCATCGGCGAAGGCGAAAGTGACGTCATTTGTATATTGCATTTCGACAAGGTTGCTGTCAGCAGCTATCCAGATAACGGGATTTTGGAGATCTGACGTTCGTCTCGCTATCTCGTCGATCACAAAATTGATTAGGTATGGAGAGTGAGAGAACTTCCTGCATAGTTTCACACGCCAGCAAGACTGAGAAAACGAACTTATTACATCCAGACTACCGCGGTATTTCTCGTTAATCGGGCGTGTTAGGGAAAACAAACAGGTCATCAGAGTCGCATGTGTTTTTGAAATCCCGGAATATCAAAAGTGCAGGTAGTTCATACATCCGGCGTTGTTCTAGCACCTGAGGTAGTGTGAAGTTGCGGTCAACCCAACCACAACGGGCAGGAATTGCGCTTGCGGCTTTCGTGTCAGTGTATCAAGCGAAACCAGAAAGCGATGGAAAAGTGAAGTTAAGGAAATTTCTTAAGCTTTAGCACCCTTTCGGTGCCTAGCTACCATGCCACAAAAAGGAGGCACGAGGGCCGGGATATTGCCGGGTGGCCAAAGCCTAGAGGAAGTTGGAAGGCAGAGGTCGGATTCAAAACACGGAACATCCGTCTAGTAACCTCGCGCTCTAACAACTGAGCCATCTCGAATTATTAATAAAACTAATCTCTGTGTGGTTACCACACTCATTATGGGCCTTTTTAGAAAACGGGCATTATTACCGATACTCTCCAGTGATATGGGACAGTCACGTTTCCCCGAGTGGAGACAAATAAATTGAGCGTTGGCTCAAGACCTCACCAGGATCCTTGAATGATGCGGGTTGGAGGACATCCGGATTTGGAACTCATTGACGCTTAGGAGGAGACAAGCAGTCACAAATCTCCGAGGGCGTAGCGGGTTCCAGGTTTATCGTCTGCAGTTTTAGTGCAATCCGACCGAAGAGCAGCCGGTGGCCACGAGCAGTGTTGTTCAGAGTGCCCGGTCCAGAGGCCGAGGCATTCTTCTCTACTAAGGTATGATGCAGTTTGTCCATTAGTTTCATTCATAGGCAGTTTTCGGAGACCGGTCGCATGAACGGACGAAAATAACCGGACTTATTTGTCCCTCCCATTTCTTCAGCTTGATCGTGTACAAATTCTCCTAGTTGAAAGCGCAACTGTAATCATTGGCATCCAATGTTTTATCAGATAAATCTGAAAACTTATGTTCCAATTTGGTTGCATTTTCAACACCGCGTTATTTTACGTACTTAGACTCGACTCTGGGATAGGTCTTATTCGAAACATGAATTTCCAGCCGAGTGAAGTCCTGATTCTCTAGGGAAACTCCGTTAACATAGTTCATGATTTGTTATGATTTGTTCCACCAGATTTAATACTGCAACCAACATATACTACAAATATTTTATGTACCATTCTGCTAAGGACTTTACCAAGATATCGTCCGAAGTCTCGCAAACACGAAGTGCTCATGTGCTGTGGAAAGTCGCCATTGATTTTAAAAGCTCTTTAGGAACGTTTGCAAACCTTCCTGCGTTTATCAATCATATAGTGACGGTTGCACTAAAAAAAGCCACTGTCCACGGATACTACTAACGGAGCGGTGATAGCACAGAGGTGACGGGACTTTATCTGCCGCCGTGGTCGTCAGACTATCAGCCACAAAAGACCATGCGTGCCTGTCGCATCAACTAAACAATCATTCTGTGTTCGTTTTCTGTAGATTCAGCAGAATCAACAATTGAGGATCCAGGTGCTCTGAGGAAATTATGATATGCAGAACGTACGTTGAGGCCTCTTAGAGGCAACCAAGGTCTGTCAGCTGCTCCACATCCACTATCAGCTGCGGTCCTCGCGATACATGCTTGATAAACGCTGTCGAGTCACGTTCAAAAACTTCGCAGACATAGAACAATTCACTGAGGTGAGTAGTAACGATACCTGCGAATACGTGGCGAAAAAACTGCGCACACGTTGGCTCCGAATCAGGCTGTGAATTCAAATTTGTCCGGGTGTAAATGGAAACAGAGCTTTTGGATCTGCCAGATCGACTAAAGTCCTCCTCCGTAGGCTTTTAGTCTTAATGGTTGGACACAACCTCAAATTTGGACAACCAGTTCTATGGGCATTTAAGGTTATTAAAGTGTTATTTTTTGGCTAGACACACCAACAGAGGCACCTAGCGACAACAGCCCGATTCAAGGAAATCGTGCAACGCTGAGTGGAGAAGGAACGCGCGAACATGCGTAAACGGATCCAGAGAACCGCGAGAACAAGTTCACAAAAAGACGTTTTGTGGAAATTCGCATCCCTTATATAAATGCCTGACCTATAATTCAAAGTTCAGTTTCCGTGTCAGTAACCTGCTGCAGTAGGACGTATGGATGATATGGTCAGTAAGATATGAAGGGACGCTCGCTAAGCAATGCTCACCGGGAGCAGAACTGTATTTCATCTTTGACTATGTCCGCATTTTGGTGCAGAAGTGTAGGGATTCGGTGCAGACATTTCTGAAGACAGGTACAGACCTGAAGCAGGAATGTCTGCACCCGTGCTAATTGAGAAGACACATATGGCTGCTCGAAAACATACGTGCTGACTGGAGCACTTAACCTACCAGGTGCTCCAGTATATAGAGTTAAGGGCAAGGACGGCAACCTGGTCACAGGGATCAGTCGGACGAGGAAGCGCCTGCAGAAAGTCAGTCCCTGCATCGACGATCGTATCAGCAGTAACACGGCATCCACACACACCAGGAGTTAAAGTCATGCACTTCCGACAGCTGACGGTGCCGACACACCGTGCCAAAGGAGAAAATTCTGATTTCAGACATTCACTAATAAACAAGCAAGATTCACGCACCGACTTATATCAAACCAGATGCACAACTCAAAATCTGCACCGATATGCAGATTTTACTACAGCCGGTGGCGGACCTATTGTTGGACGTCTTACGTCTGTACTATCAGGGTATTTTTTGTACTCATCCACCTCTAGAAGACCCGAGCGCATCATCCGAGGGAAGACAACAGACACGGTACACAATGACTCCAGACACTTGGGGAAGTCGGTTCATGCACAAGTCAAACTGAAGCAATTGATTGGCTGGTCCAAGTCACGCGATCCATAACATCTACGACTATTCCGTACGAGGCCTAGCTGCTTAGCAGAGGTTTGCACCAACGCTAGGTGGCTAGGTGGGATAAACTTTTGCACAGGGACTATAGAGGTATTTTCGCACACATCCACCTCCAGCAAACCCGGGCGCATAATCCGAGGGAAGACATTAGACGCAGACCACAGTGATCCCAGACTACTGGTTGTGAACTTGAGCTGCAGGTAAAAAACGACCGGCTGTTGGAATATCACTTCCCGGAAGTTGATTGGTGCAAATTCAATTGCCCAATGCGGACTCACGGATTCTCGGATTGATGCTCAGGACTGAAGTTTTCGCCCAAGCATCCCAGATTGGGTTCGTTCTTGTTGTTCAGCGGCTTCCGTTCAACTGAAATCATGGGCAGAAAAGGGTATAGCACTGCTTTTTACGTTCTCAATGCGGTACAGTAAGCTTGCTAGCGCAGCGACTCAACTGAGAACGCCTCTAAAAATGCATTGAGCTGAGTATTAAATGCCGCGTGAGCAACCATCGGGGGAGGATTATTCCACGCATCAATTACCCAGAATAAGAAAAATTGTTACCTAATGAAGGTGTGCGCTCTCAGCTCAAAATCTTGCCACTTCCTCGACGTATGCCAAGTGGGTCAACAGATAGAAAACTTTTGGCCAAACCCCGTTCAAACAGAGCATAGTTAAGTACTAGGTCTCATCGGAGGAAGCGGTGCCCCAGGAGAAGGGTTCAAGCACAGCGATACACATTTCATAGTTCAAGGGTTTAAGCCGAACAACCATTTTCGTAGCAGCTCGTTGGACGTACGCAGCGGGCATTGCATCTTTTAGACAACTTGGCTGGCACATTCAAGAAGCGGCCTGACGTGGGCACCACCTCACCGGGTACAGGCGCTTGGACTGAGATTCCTATGATCGTTTCTGATAGAAAATGGCGTGGCAAACAGCACATATACCTAAAGATTTTTTCCGCATAGATAGGTGCCAACCAGACACCGAGTACACTTTCATAGGCACAAGTGAAGTTTCGTAGGTAAAGATGGCCAGCTATTAGTGGGGTGCGAGAGAGTAATAGCAGGCTCCTCAGGTAGAGAGAATGAATACGCCAGAGGTAAGACCGTTAAGGTAGTATGGGGAAACTCATCCCAGAACCATGACTTAGAACCCAAAAAGACTTACACGAGTGGATAGGTGATTGAGATTTTTGGGACCCTGTGAAGGCGTCAATTCAAGGCTGGATTTGAAGGAGACGGTGAACATAGATGAGAGCCCACTGGGGCGACAGCGATCGTTATGAAGCAGGGATACCGATCCGATAGTCTGCCGCTGGATACTCTCCAGCACATTCTTACCATGCTTTGGTCGGGGATGGAGATGGACATGGTTGTTAGAATAATTGAAGGTAAAATTCTGTGGACCTATGGAGAGAAAATGTGATAGTGAACTTGATCACCTTGTGGGCCTACCCCGAGAAAAGAATCAAATCAAAGAATTGTAAGGCTGGCCAGGAATCTGACTCAAAGATCGTCGTTGCGGTCGAAGTGAGCATTGGCTGGTGCTAGCTGGCCACGTATCTAGGCCTGGGACACGTCTCAAGAAGAATAGGCGCCACCAGGCGGTATTTGTTTTCACGGACAATGGACATTATTTGTTGAGTTGTATTCAACTCCCTAACCCAACTTAAGTGATGGTCGCTGGGACGCTTTGTTCGGTTGACCGGCCTTCTGATATCAGTACTGCTACCTTAGACCACTTTTCTGGGATAGTGCTTTGTACGCTGTTCCTCTGAGTTGCAAATGAGGGCGCTCTTTCGTACGGTGTACCCCCATCAATGGATCCTAATTACCACCTTGGGCACGTCGCAGTAATTGGTGCACAGTGGACTGGCCGTGGTCAACGTTCTACGGGACCGCGTGAATGTCGACCAGAACGGACCACCGAAGTGAACGTGCTCAACATGCATCTTCTGAATAGTTCACGACAACTGATGGCAATCTGCACAATTTGTGTGGATGAACTTTTCAGTTGCACTGCCTGAGCCGAAAATTATGGGGCAACAATTGGGATCCTGAACGCTTTTTTCACACTTCGAGCCACATCCTCTCGTTACCACGTGGCTCACGGCGTTCGGGTAAATGTATACACTACCCGGTGCAAAATATGGATTCCACATTTCGTGGAGCGGAGGCGTCCGAAGTTGTTCACTAACATGACAGACCAGTTCAGAAACGAAAGAGGGGTAATTATTTGCCTCACACACAGGACGTTCACCAGCATAAATGAAAGGGGAAATAGGCTAGAGGTTTGAGGCTCGATTGTGGGCGAACATACCCAAAAATATGATGGTGGATAACATGATGTCCACGACAGCCAACCAGATGGAAAGGTGACCATC